ATCTTGCTTAACAAATGTTTCCCCTGATGGAGTTTTATGGATCTGCTCAGGTGGAAGATTCAGTTTGCGTACATCTTCAGGTGTCACCTTCAAAGATAAGAAGATGGAAATAATGTTCCCAAATTAATAAGGTGTATGAACAATGGATGATAAAATGAACAAAAGTTTACAAGAAATGTGAGAAAGAATTACCAAGGTGCAGTAGCAAAGATTATAAGCCATCATAATTGACGGGTACAATGAAGCAAAATCCAGAGTTGCAATTGGCTTTTCATAGAAACCTGTTCGTGCTTCTAAAACCTGATAATCATATGAAACATCCAAAAAACAGACATGTCAGAACAGTAGAATATTTGTCACTGATAATGTGTTTTCCTCAAAAGATTACAAATACAAACGTGAGGCAGAAAGTAAATGTTGGACCCGTAAATCACCAACTTACAGTTGCGCCTTCATAGCTTCCTTGTTCCGACCCAGACTGTTTAGCATTCGGAAGAACCAGGTTCTTCTGTTTAGCTTTCCTAAGAAGCTGAGATAGAACCTAGAAACAACAACATGTTGGGATACAATATATCAGCCACCATAGTCAACTGAAACGTTGATCCAGGAACTATTAGTTGAGAATTACCTTGATACTCTGTCCTCTAGCAAGAAGAAAGGAAATAGGGACACCAGTTACACGGGCCATTTCAACATAGTTATATATATACATAAGTTTGTCCAGAAGCCTCTGAGGAAGATATGCATCCTGTAACAGCAAAAAAGAACATGGTTAAGTTATACATTTTTTAATAATATTCAGATGGTTGATTATTAAGAGAAAACAAAAATAACTGAAACCATAAATAATGAGACCACCTTGGTTCAATAACAAAACGATCATTTCAATAAGCAAATGTAACTACCTTCAAACAATAAACAGCAAGACGCCTCCTGGTTTCCGCATTCCCATTCTGTAGATCAGTTATTATAGAATGATGGACATCCTCTTTCTGAAGAAGAAGACAATCATGTTAGCCACATAGAAAAACAGAACGAAGCGGAAAGTCTAAGCATAATTACTCAGTTTCACCTGCTCGGAAAGAAAGTGAGCTGAGACAGAATTCAGCGAATAAGAACTTAATTTGTAGTCTCTAAGTATCGCCTACAATAAATTAAAAAAGAAGTAAGTTGATGTCTTTGCAATGAACTACAAATGAACAATCTAAGAATGTCTCAACCAAAAAGACTGCTAGAGGGACAGAAACCTGAAAAAGGTCAAACTGAAATCGTCCTTCAATTGTGGTCTCTTTACTTTCTCTTGTTCCTTGTTGTCTGAAACATGGCACATGTTAGTGAACTCATGAGCCACGAAAAGCCACAACAACAAAAAAAAATTAGAAAGCGAGCAGNTTGCAAGCATCAGTTGCTCTACATCACCTTGACGAAAACCTTGAGTCCTTGACTTGGACCCTACTGTTCTTTACACGACCAAAAAGAGGAAAATCCTCTATTCCCAGTGTTGCAGCTCTCTGAGAATCAGAAAACAGCATAGTTAACTAGGTAAAATCGTCATATATACATGAGCCCTTCAGCAGAGCGAAACATAGCAAAATAATACACATGGAATGCTATACGAATGAAAGAGCACGCTTCTACTACCAGAGGTGATATAATGATCCGCCAATAAAGGTAGATGTTAATGTTCAAGTACCTCAATCAGATACGGCAAATCGAATTTGCAGATGTTATAGCCAATGATGATATCAGGATCAACATCACGAATAAAATCCTGCAACCATTACATCTTATCCATCAGAAGAACACATGCTTCACCAAAAAATTGCAGTAACAACATAAAATTTACTAAATTCTTTCCTTCCAGGTTTAAAAAAAGGTAAACTGTAACAGAGCTTGGTTAGGCAAGTTAAGGTGTCAAAAATTGAAGAAAATATATGAAGGGCAAGTAGTGCACATATGGTTATAATAGACAAAAGGAGGCAAAATCAATTACCCTCCAAGCTAGTAAGACCTCTCTTTCTGCTTCAAAAGACATGACATCTACGCCTACGATTGGAGCACATGACTTAAGAGTCATGACATTGCGTACAAATGGTTGATCCTCTCCCTGAAGAGTTACAAGGTTCGCTATCTAGAAATGCAATGAGAATGTCGTTTCATGAGGGAGTACCAAATAGAGATATCAAATTATAGCACGAACAGCTAACCTGGATCACAGGATCATGCTTAGCCTCTGGAAAGTGTCCTTTACGACCTGCACACTCAATATCGAAACTTAGTACACGGAATGGAGCCATTTTCGAGTATTCACCTTCTGCAGCATGACTGATCAAATCTGAGTACCTAAATTTCATGTTAAAGAAAACAGTGACATAAATTTGAATCTGTTACTTGATAGACATATTCTTGCTTTGAAAATAACTCAGAGTTCTTAGACGAGGATACAGGCAATTGAACTCCAATTGGCAGTATGTAAAAGTTCTTGCGTTTTTCTTATATTTTCCAGCAGGCACTTCGATCCAATTTCCTCCCACAATATCGCGATCAACCATGAAACGGAGAGCAAAAACAATGTTGCTCTCATATGTTTGGAAGCTCTTCATACCCAATCCATGAAGTTGTATGCCTTTATCAAGGATGCCTGCCAATTTAATAAATGCATTAAGAACCATGAGTAAAGGAGATAGCAGACACATAGAGCACAAACATTTGGAAACCATACCGCGACAGGTAGCCACCATAGTCGGCAATGCAACTGTAATCTTCAGAAACGTTTGGGATTTTTGCTGTTGGTAGTACATTATGCTTCTTTTTTGCACCATTTCTATATGACGAACACATTTCGGAACGCTGAAATTTTTATTGGATTCCTTCATCTTTCCCTGAATAAATCAGATGAGCATTAGAAAAAAAACCAGGAAGATCAAACTACAACAATCTCAAAGATATATTTGACTAACTAGTAGATACCTCCAGAATCTGATGGAAATGAGAAATATCGTCTGGCCCCATTCCAGGAGGGCAAGGAATGTAAAAGTAAGGCTCAAACCCATGAACAAAGCAACACACACTATGACCTGAATATATACCAGAAACGTAAGTTCATCAATGAAAGGCAAATCCTATGACGAATATAGCTTTATCCATTAAAGGAAATCGTTCTTCATGTCATGTTCAACCATCTCCACCTTTACACAGAAGAGACAGAAGGCAAAACAATACCTTCTCTGGTTACACCGAAAATCCTGATGACTGCAGCTTGCCCTGAGGAACCTGGTAACAGCTCCTTGTTACTCTCCTTAAGTACATAATCAATCTCCAATTGCTGATAAACTAACAAACCAACAACAACAAAAATCGAAATGTTCAGCAATTCACAGTATCACAAAATTGAAGAAACCCTAGAAATTTCAATCCAGTAACATTGAAAACTCAACTGATACTCTCCGAATTCGAGAGATAAGCAGGTGAGAGAGGAGGTCGAGCCCAAGTCGAAGACCGTGTAGATACCGCTTCACGCTCCTCCATATCCCGAAGAATTAGGGATTCCTCATCTTCTTCGCCGAGAACTAGGGATTCGTCCATGAACACATCCTCGTCAACAAATTCATCTTCTAGGGTTCCGATTACCGGAGATGGCGTCGGATTACCGGTGGCTCGATGCTTCCCCGCCGGTGGGGTATGCGACGGAGGCGGTCGCTTTTTGGGATTTCCGCCTCTTTTCATGGCTTTTTAGATGAGCGGGAAAAAACGATGAGGAGGAATGAGTCAGTGAGGTCGTGAAGATCTGAGAGCCCAAAAAGTGAGATTATAGCCACTGCATTTCCCGCCAGTTTTATTAAGGGTTTTACTTTTACTATTAGAGAGACAATCATATTTTTAATGTTAAGATTTTTAGGGATTTTTCTAGAAGACTATAAAGATAATACACTGCTATTGACGAAAATGTTTTTCTATTGTGCTTGCATTCATTTTGAAAATGTTTTTCTAATGTTTTTCTATAATGATTTTGTCACTGATATAGTGAAAGTGTTTAGTATAAGGTTTACCTCTGATGATGGAGATGGAGTAGAAAACTTTG